CTGGAAAACCAGCATCCGATATGCGCTTTCAGCCAATGGCTGTGGATCAGTATGTGCTAGCAAGGGGACGGTCTTCCACCTGTCAGAAAAACAATAGCTCAGCGGGGGGAGATTGCCGCACTAACATTGCTTAGTTAGTTATTGCGACCTCTCCCATGTGTACCCTGTATTAGATTTGGTTGGAGTAAAAAAGTTTTACCAAGAACTACACAAGATAGGAGTCTACCTAAACAAGCCATTCAGTTTTTATCCAGTCAAACACTGCAGATCTAAAAGATTTATTCTACAAAAAATCTCACTGGTGAATACTCGGCTAAAACTACGCAACACTAAAAGGGAATACATGTCTGTCCAGGACACATCAGTACTCAAAAACCTGGTAGGTCCAGGATATAAAGCCAGCACCTTTGTGCCGGGGTCATCAGAATTGCTGGAGACTTGAAGAAGGATTGATTCCACCATAATGGAGCCACATCAGGGAGGTGCTGTACCAGACGATCCTTCAGGACACTGCAGGAGGAACATGCACTATACTTAGTGTTACTGCAAAAGTGTTTTTTTGTGTCATGCCCAAAATAAACCTTTAAGTTTTTTTTGTTGAGAGAAAATTTAGGGTTTTAAATCATTCCTTCCTTTTCAGAGCCAAAACTGTAAGGGTGCATTAAACTGGAACTTGAACATTTATATAAAAGCAGTATTAAAATGTAATATATTGCAGCTTACAATCCTTAAATGTGATAGTGTAGCTGCATTATTTGTTGTTGATTTTTTTGCCCTATTCACAAATTTGTTTTTTTTTTTTTTTGAGATAAAGGTTTTACATAAATAAAAGCTGATCATCTGTAAGCATCCCTGTCAGTGTTAATTGGCTTGCCTCAACTCTCCAACCGATCCTTTATCAGAATAACCAAACTGTCCAGTAAAAGTAAGTGCCAGGATCAAAGGGGGGGGGGGGCCTAAAATAAGAATAATGCAGCCACCACATCTAAGAATTGGTAAGCTGCAATATAATAAAGATTTGTTTGAGTTTAATACTGCTTTAAGTAAACCACACCACCTCAGTAACTATAAGGCCCCATTCAGATACTGTGTTGTGGCAACGGGCGTTCCCACTTGTGATTTGCATGCCTGTGTGTCGCACATACGGCAGCCTATTTACTTCAATGGCCTCACTACCTACAGTTTCGGAGGCCCTAAAATGCCAGGATAGTCCAAAAACGTCCCACATGACCCCTTTTTGGAAAGGAAATACCCCACGGAATTTGATAAGAGGCATGGTGAGTATTTTGTAGATATCATTTGTCACAGGGCTTTGAAAAAAGAAAACAAAAAATACATTTTCGTTTTCTTTGTTTTCCAAAAACTTGTGAAAACGAATAAGATTTGCAAATACTTTCCATGCCTCTTAGCAAATATCTTTGGAGTGTCTACTTTCAAAAAAGGGGTCATTTGGGGTGGGGGTATGCTTCTACTATCCTGGCATGTCAGGGCCAACATTAGAAGCCTATGCCACACATCACCCAGTTTTCTAATCACGCCTTTTCTGACACTTTTTCGCTAGAAAATTAATTTGCTTTAATGAAACATATGTATTGTTCGGGGTTTCAGGGTGAAAATGATGGGTGTTAAATTATTTATGTCACACAGTATTTGTGCAGCGATTTTTAAAATGCTGATTTTTTTTTTTTTAAAAAATACACTTTTTTGAATTTTAATGCACAAAACCACAAATATATTGCCCAATTGTTTGATCGTATATAAAAGATGTTACACCAAGTAAATGGATACCAAACATGACATGCCCATGCAACAAATTACGTAAATTTGTAATATCCATAGGCGATGCTTTAAAAGCCTTTACAGATCACCACTTTAGATTTACACAGGACGTCTAGTGCTAGAATTACTGCCCTTGGTCTGATGTTTGTGGTGATACCTCACATGCATGGTGCATGCTCTGTTTACATACCGCTGCTTGCGTTTGCCTTTGCGCGTGGGGATGGGGTGAATTTTTATTTTTATAATTACTTATTTTTCCTTTTTTTTTTTTTACTTAATTATTTTCACACTGAACCTTTCTTTTTTTTTTTCTTTGATCACTTTTATTGTTATCACAGGGAATTAAAATATCCCCTGTGATAGCAATAGGCAGTGACAGGTATTCTTTTCTAAGAAATCTGGGATCTATTAAACTCTAGCTCTCTCCTCTGCCCTTATAGCATCTGATCTCCCTAAGATCGGTGTGATCAGATGCTTTCCCAATTTTAAAATCGCACGGTTTATATCCGGCGAAACGTAAAATGATAAAATGCTCGCAGCTTCCAGTCTCTTAGACCATAAAGAGGACTGGAGGCATTCCAATCGCCGATCATCTCTATTGTCAGCCAGAACTGCCGGCTACATTTTTGGGTTCTCTGGTGGGATGGGAGAGCCCAAGAAAACCTTGGAAGGCAGTGGGGGTTGCTAGTCCCGCTGCTTGTAAAAGCGATCCAGCGACTAATTAGCAACTAGGATTGTTTATACATGAAAGCCGACCGCCAGTTGAAAAAAAAACCATACCAGGATGATGCCTGTAGCTGCAGGCATCATCCCAGTATAACCACTCAAAGTCCAGCAATGTACCAGTACGTTGCTGGTCCATGTTGGGCATATATGTAACAACAGAGAACACGGACATATGAAAAATCATTATTAATTGCAATGCTATGTTGAGGGTTGGGCCCTAAAAAAGTTTTTAAATTTAGAAACCGTGATAAGTTTTCATATGAAAAACAGTGGAGAGGCTAAACGCTAACGCTGGCAGTAAACGGGGCTGATCATGCTAACACTGCGTTTTTAGGGACACTATACAAAAAGGAGGCACTAGTATAGTTCTGTTCCTGATCCATTTATTGATCCGTACAAACACTATACTAGTAATGGCGGTGATCGGCAACTTAGATTGCCTGCACACTATAACAGTAGCTGACTATGGCTGGGAGGGGCGTTATCTGATGTCGCTAGTGGCAGTAATACAGTGATCATTGCAAAATTCTAAATAATGACGCTGGGTGACGGGGCGATCAAAGAGCTAAAATGTGCTAATCTAACGTGTATGTAAAATGTAGTGCTTTTATTCAGTTCCGTTTTCGTTCTTCTCTCCCTGGACGGCATAGGGGTGCACATGCACACCCAGAAATAGAAAACCACATAACATTACGACGCTTTGCCCAGAGCTGCCGCTCGCCCGCACAGTGGTTAATGTAGGAGTGTAGGTTTACAAAAAAGGGAAATTGTGTATTTACAAAGATTTACAGGTATTATTGCAGTGTTTACCTTGAAGAAATTTTTAAATGGTTGCTGTTCTTTATTTTTGATATTGTATTAACTATAGATTTGTAGATTAGCCACAAGAAGGAGTGAACTGTCAGTTTGTAATTAACCTCCCTTTTGAACAACTTTCTGAGATAAAGTAACATGCACACAGCGGTGTGCATTGCATTCAGTGAATCAGCTGGAGGAAGATAGACTTTACTGAGCTTAGTGAAGATGAAGCTGTGTTTTTAGCAAATATCCCCTCCCCCGCACATGGATTCGGTATGCAAAGTAAACATAGGTTCACTTTTTTTATGAACGCTCACTTTCCTGGGTGAACAGCTTATACTCTTTAAAGAAATCAAACTCACCAACTTGAGAGAGAGCAGTAAAGTACAATCATTGTGTATTAATGCAAACGTTTAGTATTTATCAAATATGGCTTCCCCCATGAATATATACAGAGGTTGGACAAAGTTATAGAAATACCAGGTAAAAGAATGAAATCATTACTCAATATGGTGTTGGACCACCTTTTAAATCCAGAATGCCCTGAATTCTTCTGGGAATTGGATAGTGGATAATGGAATCTGATACCACCCTTCATGCAAAGATCGTTCCCGTTCTTGCAGAGATGCCAGAGGTGGAAAACCGAGTCCAAACCTTGCTCTCCACAGACCTTTGTTGCACTATGATATAGAGGTGCGAGACATCGTCTGCATGCTCGACAAACCATGATTTGACAACACCAGCTGTGTGAATGAAAGCATTATCGTCTTGGTAAATGGTGCTGTCTTCAGGAAACAATGTCTGCACCATGGGGTGCACATGGTCGGCCAAAATTTGTACATAGGGACTGGCAGTGACTCCACCTTTCAAACTGATGATGGGGCCTTCAGAATACCAAGATATGTCTGCCCAAACCATTATTGCACCACCACCACGCTTTACTGTTGGCACAAGACAGTCCTGGTCGTAAGCTCTGCCACATATAAACACGTCCGATGGTTGGGAGCAGTGTGAAGCTCCATTCATCGGACCATATTACAGTCTTCCATTGATTGGTAGTCCAGGATTTATGGATGTTGCACCACTCTCTCCTCTTCTGAGCATTAATATCAGTCACTAGTGTGTTTGGCAACTGCAGCTCACCCGTGAATATTTTCCTCATGCAGTGCCCACCGCACACAGTGTTTGTGGACATGGGCTTTGGAAGACACTTTTGCAGCAGTTGTTTTCTTATTCCGGGTCACAATCCTGCATCCTTTTGTCTCTTTTGGTCAGTTGACCACGCTTAACCTTTATCAGACAACGTTTTCCCACAAACTGTATATTCCGTTGTAACCTTTATACTGCACCTTGCAACACGGAAAATAAATTGGCAAGTTCAGTCACAGAGGCACCAGCTAAGTGGGCACCAACAATTTGTCATCTTTGAAGCTCCGTGAGCTCTCTGACATGACTGTATTACTAGCAGTGCACACGGTGATCGATGAAAATGAGGCTTCACACCTGTTAGCTAGGCGTCTCATCACACAGTGGAAGCAAAAGAATGTTACATCACTTCTGCTTTTAACGTGAAACATGTTGTCACTTTCACACCTACAAATCATGTAGTGTTTCTATATTTTTGTCTGACCCCTGTACATAGTGTAAGTACAGACTAGAACGTGTTCCCACACAAACAAGAGACTAACATCCAGCTGCTAGTTTACATTGTAATTTGTGCACCCTACTTGCCTTTTCAGGTGGTTGTATATCCGCAGCACAGTCTCAGGCTCCTTATGTGGATCCTGAATATGTATCCTACAAGTGAACCTGAGCTGGTGTTCACTAAGGCCAATCTCCTTTAGTGCTTGTTCTGGGGACACCAGACGAAGGCTCTGCCATAGAGAGAATAGTCAGTGGCAATGTATATATTATTCATAGTCATAAGCAAAGAAAGCATTACTTCGGATTATATATTAGAATAGATAAAGCGTAACACTGCAAATATTGCTGATCTGTCCAAAGTAGCTGTTTACAATAGAATCTGTCCTTTCAAAGTACAATTCCACAGAAACGTTCTCCTAGGCTAGATATTTACTTATCAAACAATACACTTAAAGCCCAACTCTGGGTGTCATCAGTGCTGCTGTCTGCATCATACTGTGGATGAAGGGCACTGTTAGGCTCACTCCAGGGCTGGGCCCATGACATCCTGCATTCATAGCATGTTCCCAGTCTTCAGGGTTGAGGGACACTGGGCACCATTCATCCTGAACGACTGAGGACATCTTGTGGCAAAAATTAGTATTGCAAGGTACAGCAACAGATTGAAAGAGTATTGCAACTTCTTTATGTCACTCCGTCCTCTACCAACCGCCTAACTCTATTTTTTTTTACCAGTAATAGTTTTAATTAAGGTATACAAAATGTACAAAAAATATGTATGTATGTATGTATGTATGTATGTATGTATGTATCTCTTGTTATGAAGAACAGTAGAAATAGAGCTAGAAGTACTTTTGTAATTTTCTTCAAGATTACATTCCAAATATTACAAGATTTGTAATTTTTCTTCAAACCAAGATTACATTCCAAATATCTAATTTTCTGGAATATATATTATATATATTATAACTAAGTGACCACATGACCTCAGTTCTCAGCTGCATAATAGGGCTTGAAGAGGTGGGGTGGAGAAACAACAGTATACTGATCTTCACAGTGAATGGGTGGGGGTGGGGGGTAATCAGCACACGTCTGTTCATCAGAGGACAGGCAAGCTGTGCTCCTAGCACAGCTAAAAAACTAAACACACAGGAATGGCTGTGCTCTCCTGCATAGTGTTGTCACTTTGAAATAGTAAAGCAGGGGGGACTGGCAGGAACACCAGATATTTCACATAAAGGAAGTAATACAAAGAACACAATAATTTTTAAACACAGTACATAGTACAACAGGAAGGGCTGCTGTTAGAAATCACAGGGCCCTGTACAGCCTACAAAACAGGAAGGGGTGAGTAGCCCCTTCCTACCCCCAGGAGGCATCCCATCATGGACAACAGGTGGGGGAGCAATTACAGGAATTAATTCCCTGTATGGCTCTCTTTACAGCAACTGAAAGCTGGCTGGAGGGAGTGGAGAAGCCAGCTTTCAGCTACTGCAGAGTCATACAGGGAATCTGTTCCTATAGATGCTTACCCCTCCCTGATCATCTCCTCCTATCCACGATCTGATTCCTCCTGCTGCCTGGGCCCTCCGGCTGAACTGAAGGGGCCTAGGCCCTGTACAAGGGGACCAGTGGTACCCCCTTTTTGCAGCCTTAACAGGCAGACATCAGGAATATGAAATGCTGGGATAACAAACACTTTATCTCATTTCACAGAGGTATACTGTGATAAGACACCGAAGTTGCTGTTTCAGCTTTACTTACATTATCTTTCATGATAAGGGTTCCATGCATCAGCCTGGGCTTCTTACACTCTGGTACAAGACCTACAGTTACAAAGGCATATATGTCAGTGTGTGTATATAATATAAATATATATCAGGCCAAGGACATGAACTAAGGGTTATTCCAAATAAATGTTCTATAAGCTGTGCCAAATGCAGCACGTGTAGGACATCCATCAGAAAGTTTGTTTTAGTATATAGTTTTTTGTCCTAATTGGCTGGCACAGGCCTCTGCTACAAGTAGGATCTTAAAGTGTTCAACTAGCCTGGGGAGCAGGGATCTCAAAAAGCTACAGCTCGCAGACATGTAAAGAGAAGCCAGGACCTGTGATCACCAAATCTGGTCAGCAGCCTCCCAAGCTTACTACTGGGCAACCCTGCACTGAAGATAAAGCAGGATATGAAAGGAGAAATGTCCATGTTAGAGAGCCATCATAGGAACAGGTGACAGTGTTTTTTAGGACTTTTTCTCACCTTTTGTTCTGGTGGCAACTCTAAAATTTTAGATTTTCCCTCACTTTCACTACAGAGGTAAGTCTCCCCAGTGGGAACACAGACAGCAATACACACCTGACAAAGGCTCTAATCTAATGTTTCCCAAACTACAGCTGGTGGACGGGATTTCGCCCTTTGCTTAGTTCTAGCTGACCCTTGGGGCATGATTCCTCCAAAAGACACCACAAATGGGGTACTATTCCTCCAACTAACGCAACCAATGGGTCACGATTTGCCCTACTGACCACAAGCACTAGGCCATTTTCAACTTTCTCTGGTCACAATTTGGCTCCTCTAAAATATGAAGGCCAGTGAGCTGGCCCTTTGTTTAGAAGGTTTGGGGACCTCTGCCATGTTTTGTTAGGTAATGTTTAGTTCACATATGTATTTCAATGGCGTATTTAGAAGTTTGCCTGCTGCTTCATTCTAAACACAATAGGGAAAAAACATAAGACATCTGACTGACTTACTTAGAGCAGTCTCTTTCTTCAGTAGTCCTAGGGAAATGTCAACAGGAATGTTGGGGTTGGTGGCAATAGTGGCTGTCTCCCCATTAAACGGCATATAGCAATGAATATCTGGAGACACAAAGTAATAGAGAGAATAGGGAAAAACAAGGAATAGAAAAAGAACTGGATTCTGTAAGACCTCTGTGTTGGGCTGAAAGTAAGATGTGTTCATGGTTGGAATAAGGTTACAGTAAAGACAGATATTTATATAAAATAAAGAATAACAACTTACGAAACTCTTGCTCAATCTTCTGCTTGAGAAACTCCATCTTTTTGGCCTCTCCATGCACCAGTAGCACATTTCGTGGTTCTGCCTGGCGGATCAGCTGCATGATGCCTTTAGCATCAGCGTGGGCACTGAAGGACATATACTCTACCTGCATCTTCACCTCCAGCTGGCAAGAAATAATACAGCAAAATTAGGAATTAAATATAACTATCATTTAAAAACAAAATAAAAGAAATTTTCACTAAAAGACAAGAACCATAGACCCTTTATTTGTACCATGTAGGAAACCAAACCATTCATTTTGTAAATGTAAGTGCATTTTAAACTGTATAGGAAACCTACTGTCTGTCTCCCTTCCATCTCCAGCTTGCGTTGCCCACTTAGGATCTTGTGACCCACTGTGCCCTGCACACAGTAACCTGGCATAATCACCTACACAGGAACAAAGGGAAATAGGACAGGTAAGTCTAAGGATCATGTCAAGCTCTTGGGAAGTCACAAGCACTGTGCAGATTGAGAGTAATTACAGGAAAGTTTAAAGCAGAGTTCCAGTCATTTTTTTTAAGCCCCTCCTGTATACATCGATCTTCACAGTGGGCATCTGAAGTCCAGTCGCACTTTCTTCCAGGATACGGTGCAGCAGGCTACCTAGCATGCACATCCTGATCTCACTCCTCCGCAGTGTGAAGAAAGTGTGGCACACTTGTTGCAGAGCGGAGGATGCCCGTTGACTTCTGGGGTTGATGACACATATATCCCAGGAACTAACGGGCGAGAGGATATGATATACCTCGCCACGGCGAGGTACATCGGAAGTGCAGTGCTTCAGGCAGCCTAAACGTTTGGCACATATTTTTTTTTTTTTCTCCCTAAGTTTTCAAACATTGATAGGACAGCTGGAAGCAATACATGGGGACAAACTTTAAAAATTGGGTGGAACTCCACTTGAAATGCTCCCTTTTAATGTACATGTTACATTTCATCGCACAATATTCTGAATTAATAAAAAAGATCTCTGCACCCACGCACATATTTTGTTTATGGAGACATAATCCTGGGCTTAATCACCCAGCAGCATTTTGTATATTTTGGAGACTCCAGCAGTGAGATATTCTAGCTGAATATTCTGACTGCCTGAAGATCCAGGCAGTGGTGCTTGGATCCCAAGATAGCTACAATTTCAAATCCGTTGGCAGGTTTGACAGTTCATATAAAATGTGTTTTAGCTGCATAATTCTTTTTAAACTAATTTTTATTGATAATTTAGTGGACATGGACAAATATATGGACATATGGAATGTCAAACGAACAGAGGCTGGAGACATCAAATCGGACCAGCGTAATCAGGATCACAAGTACAATATTGAATAGAAATACAGTGAATAAGACATACAAAACCTTGAACAATGTGGTAACATTCCTGCAGGTTTCATCCTCAAAGAGGTGTAACCCTACATAGGTGAGAAAGCTAGTACATGGTTCGTTACCCAACAACTTATACAAAACTGGGAGTGAGGTGGTGGCCATAGAGTACAATATGTTTAAAAACATCAAGGTCCCAAGACAGTCCGATCTGAAATCAAGGATTGCACAGAATCACTAGTATCCTGAGTGTCGAGCTAAGGCCCCCATACCTTATAAAACTTTTGCGGGCATCCCGTGGCCTCATTTTAGCTGTAAATTTAGTTATCTGCCTGATGTTCAATCTTAAGAGGCCATTTATTAAATTGTGTTTTTGATACATTTTCCAAGCGGTTTCATTAATTCCTATGAAAGGTTCACCTGACAATGCATCAAATATGCATAGGATATACTGTATATGACCTGTTCTTTAATAGAATATAAATAAATTGTAAACACGCGTTATATTTTTTTTGCACAGCTGACTTCCTCTCTGGCAACCTTTAGAAAAAAAGCTTCCAGAATTCTTCTTTCTTTATGCAAATAGAGTGCTTTATATGTTTGTGGTACACATAACAAAAATTTTAAATTTCGTTGAATTGACCCGTAAAGATATGATGCTTTGACCATTTTTCTTTAAACTGTAATGATAGAAATAAAGAGGCCGCCTGTTCTGACTTTCCTGTAAAGATATTAGTTGCCTGTCTGTCTCTGGTTTCAGTGCTTTCTCAGTTACTCATCTGATGCAGGCCAGGAAAGTCAGAGTGAAGGTAGAGCTCCTTCTCTTCATACAGGTCAGGGTCTCAGAAAGTATTGAAGCCTGTTTCACCTCAACTGCCAGGGAGGTAGCAATAAATAACAGCCTCCAAATGTATTCCATAAACGGTTTCCATCATGAGAAGGGCAAGTTCATTGTAATCTCTATAAGATTCCTAATTCCAATGAGACGGTTAGCCTCCACTGCCACCTTGTTCAAAAAAACTGTAATGCTGTGCTTGCTGCGGCAGCACACATACTAAAATTGGAACGATACCGAGAAGATTAGCATGGCACCTGCGCAAGGATGACTAGTAAATTCGTGAAGCGTTCCATTTTTGTTTCGTATGGTTTGTTTAAATTAGACCGATTGTTGGTCATTTATTTTTGTTGTCTTACAAGTCTATGATTCTCAGGAACGACATTGCCATATGAGAGCATTGCTCTCTATGTGTTTTTCTTTTTGTTGCTTTCTTTATATGTAACTTTTATATTTTTGAAAATGGTTGCGGTCCTTTGCCTTTCATAGTGTTATCTGGACCCCAGTGTGGGTCTTGTATTTGTATCTCTGTGTTTGCTGTGTGTTGTTTCCCTATCTTTTATTGTTAGTTGTCGCTCTGTATCATACGATTTGTCATGTTTTGTATGTTTCTTTTAAAATGCCTAATAAAATATTTGGTAAAGAAAAAAAACTGTAATGCTGAAGATTTACTCTGTCCAACAAACTACTAGGAATGATGTATTGAGTAAAAGCAAGGCATTCTTAATGTCCAGCAAATGTTTTCTTCAAACTTGCTTGGTGCTTGGTTCCTGGTTCCCCACTGCCGATTCCTCAGCATGCACCTTTAGACCTCAGAGCAGTCCCAAACCCTGTAATAATTTTCTAGTTTACACTGGATAAATGTAGGAAACCAACAACACCAGTCTGTCACCTTTGCTCCCTCTGCACTCCTTTCACTTACCGTCTGTGGCTCCTGAATTTCCACATACACCCAGCTGCTTCCTGGTTACTAAAGTGGTGCCCCGCCGTGTGCTTGGACTATCTTCAAGAACCCTAGTGCTTAGCCAAAACCACCACTAGAGGGCATTTATCACCAACAGAACTGTTCTCAGGGTAGAAGGGGAGGCAGCTAATGGAGGCTGCCACTGAAAAAAAACGTATTGTGTGCCTGCCTCTGCCCTTGTACCAAGGATTACAAATTACAAGTAAAAAAGAAGATCGCTGTGCTCTTCTAATCATCAAACCCCAAGCAGTAGAATTTAAATTTACAAAACAAATATACAGTATTTGCCACATGAATGCAAAGCCAGCTAGACAGCAGTAGATAGAATACACCTATGTATATAGCTAGATCTCACCATGTTCTTTTCATTGCCTGCCCATTTACGGAAAATCTGCAAGGACTGGCCAGCGTGCAGCATTCCAGGAGTTGCAAAAACCACCTGAAACAATCAGATCACAAGAACATTTAGTCTTAAAAATCACAAAAATATGTCTTCTTGTGTCATAATCTGGCTTACAGTAGTCAATTTAATAATAATTTCGTATTGTATGTTAGGGTTTACGGTACACCAACCCACTTTTGTCTTTTGTTATACATGAAGCCAAAAAAATATACGTTTACAATCAGGCTACAGCAAAGAAAACTCTAGTACTCCAGAGTATTTTAAATTGGTAGGATTGAAGTCACATTGTGTTGTCTCACCATTGGCCCCGGGTTATCTGCAAAAGCTCGGTCAAAGGCCTTGATATGTTTAAACTCAAACATGTTCCTCTGTACAAAAGTCTTTCTGATCTTCTGATTGGTCCAGGTAATGAAGAGCTTATAATAATGGTTGGCTTTCTCTGTCAGACCCGTAGAGAAATAAATTGGGGCTTTCAAGTTCATCCGTTCCCTAAGGAAGAGTAATCATTTTACTATACCAGTTTATACTACAGCAAAGCTGGACAGTTCCTGTGGTAATATTAATGAGTGCAACATGACTTCTTGTGTTCTATCCAGACTCCACAATGCAGTTTCAGAAAAATAACCCTCCTTGTGACAAAAACACAATTACTATTTATGGAGTGCAAAGACTCATGGAAAAAGTAGAAAAATAAAACAAAAACACACATTTTCTATCATAGCAAAATAAGCATGGAAAATGAAGTTGTGCAATGATCAAAAATATTTTAACACCTAAACAAACCTTAAAAAGAATACGTTCGCCTTTTAAAAAAAAATAAACATCTTTTAGCAGGTAAAAAAAAAAAAAAAAAGTTTATTACATTTTATTGGGAGCCTGTAAAGCATTGCACTTGTGATCAGCAGATCTGGTGCAATGCAGGTCTCTTGCAAACTGTCAGTGTAAGTAGTCTGCTCGTATCTTGTGTGAGAAGACATTTAAACACTTATAGGAAGCATCAATAAACTTCCTAGAGTGCAAAACAGCTCTCTGGTAGATTGAGAACTACAAGACACCAGCCGCAAAGGCCAAAGGTAGTTTCCCATTCACAAAACTCTGTGAATGAGTGATGCGGTTGGGTGGGCGGAGCCCCGCACACCACCATCTTTTTAAAATTGAAACAAGGTGGGTGGGGGGATTGGGGGTGAAAAACCCTGGCTTGCTGTCACAGCGGGGAGTCTGGGGGCAGCTGCAGCAGTAACATGATACACCCTGAATATGGGTGTAACACATAACATGTAATGTTAGAAAAAAAAGTGAACTTATCCTTTAATTCCTCATGTGCTAAAAGTGAAATGAAGGACTGAAAAAGTTGCATTATTAACGTAAACCCCCAGCCAAAAGTAAACAAGATGCAAATAAAGAAGAAAACCAGCTTTTGCTGCAATATTTTGCTTCAGTCCAATGAAATTCCCTGCAATACATTTTTCTCTTTCACTACATGACAGAGTCTGGGTTGTCCTGGACCTGACCCCGCCTGTGTCAACCCTCTGTCACTCTACTTTTTCTCCTCCTATCAGCATGCTTCTTGTTGGCACGTGAACTGACTGGCTTCTTTCTTTCGCTCCAGCTCTGCTATACAAGGACTGCAAGCAGCTTATACTAGGTCATATTCGGGTACGTAAGCTCTTTGCATATTATGCTGTATTAATGATCGGAGATGCATTTATGTCTGCTATATATCTGCCTAGACTTCAGCTTTAAAAGGAAAAGGAGATTTTGGCATATGATCATGTGACCAATGCCAGGGCATTGGTCCAATTGCTATTGTCGATGCACATGATCACTGGATAAAAACCACTGAGACTTAAGCAGAGGTGATGAACCATTGATTCTACCTCTACAGTTTGCTCCCAGTAACCTCTGTAGCTAAACCTCCGGGTACAGTATGTGTACAGTTTTCCCTGCAATGTACAGACAGCCTTGTGATTTATACACATTTACCACACTGAACAGGTAGACATGTCTTCCTGGTTTAGCGACTCAAAGTTCACATGCCACCTTTCTACCTCCAGCCTTGTAATTGGACAATGGAATGGCATCATCACTTCTGTCCAGTGACCCAGAAAGAAGGAGATGGATCCTACTGTCTAGCAGTGTGTCTATCACAAGACTTGCCAACCAAATTTAGGATTCCTTTACAGGTAAAAGGAGTATTTCAGCTGTATACTTAGCAGTTTCATTCATGAGAATACATATTTGTGAATGCATTTGTTATCGGTTATTTTATTAAGGATATAACAAACCCCCGGTGGTTTTAAAGCAGTATCTAAAAATAAAAGTATCTAATTTTATGTTACAGCATACATTAAGAGGGGTCAGACTTCATGTTTGGCAGAGAGGGGAACTCCTGGTATGGAATCATGAAATGGAAACTCAGAGACAAAAACACCCGTGTCAGAGTTGGATTTGGCCCACAGTATTTAGAGTATATTACCCCAAACATACTGTGTAACTTACAACATTGTTATTCTGTTTTCAGTAAATATAAACCAAAGAAATCAAACAAAAAGGCTGTATAGAACTCATAATTCATGTTGCCTGAAAAATGGTTTACATTGTTTCTAGTATTATGAAAGAAATGTTACCAGAAGGTCTCCAGCAAAATGCAGAGTTCCTGAGCTCTCCCCAGAGCAAACACAGGAATGAGAACCTACAAATAAAAACATAAATCTGTGAATCCAAGGACAGCCCTAATGATGCTTAACTATACCAATGTCAAGAAGCCCAAGCATATGAAAGTGTACATGTGGTCAGGCCATAGGCATTCATATGTTTACATATTCTTACCAAAGCACTAAATGAGCTTTAAAACATGTCCTCACTGACCTCTGTTGCTGCAGGCATTGTGGATCAATTTGTTTTCCTTCATTCCTTTCTATCCCCTTGCCCACACAAGAAGAAGCCTTGCTAGTGCCAAGTAATGCCCAAGTTACGGTGCAGAGTGCCCAAGCAGCCACTGAACAAAGATCAGCATAGTCAGGGGAAAGTACTAGGTCTGTTACTCTGTGTTTGGGCAAACCGAGAAGCAGGGAAGTGAAGGAGAGTATAAGCTGCCATTAAAGTGAACCTGTTGTCTCTGCACTGTTATGCAGTGACCTTATCGCACAATACTGAATATCATGGAGCAATCTGTTCCTGTGTTTTGTTCAATTTGATCATTCATTATCTAGTGTCCAATGGTATCTTTAGCAGTGAACTTGTGAATTGAAGATATGTTAGACAAAGATTAGTGTCACCTTTCCACCCTTCTCTACAGTCTCATGGACCTTCTTCAAAAAGTCTCTCTCTCTACAACGTTTTGAGTCTCTGATAGTTGTAGCATATGTGGATTCACTAATAAGTAAGTCAGGACGACACTTGTCAATCCAGGCAGCTCTGAAAAAGAAACATAAGTTCTCTGGTCATGACATGTACAAAACAGTCAAGGATATCCAAGCAATGTATTTCAAATATTGAAACTGCTGTTTCAGATCCTTTGATGTAGTAATGTAACCCTATTCCCTGCACAAACACATACACTACATGGTGCTTACCCTAAATGCCGATCTGGAGTCATGTTATAATCTCCCTAAAAAAAAAAAAAAAAATCATATGAGATAATCATTAAAATAGAAAGTATAGAAGTACTGTATATCGAGTAAGTACATTTTGAGTTATTTTTATTATTACATATATTTACTGCAGTGTTTGGTATGAGATACAGTTTTTTTCCCCTGAAGTTTTGTAATAAATCTGAACTCTGGACTGTATCTAAAAACCACCCTTGCAGTGCCCCCCTTTCCAACCCCTCCCCCATCTTTCCTCACTATAAGTGATAAATGATTGTTAAGTCTAGGGGTAGAGCAATAAGGTGTAATGTTTACCGCCTCCACTTAGCAACTGCCACATAGAGGGTTTTCAAGGACTCAGCCGACACTTAAAGCTGGACAAAGGGTACAATAACCCCGCCGGCAGAGAAAAAGAGGGGAACAGAATCCAGAGTCATATCAGAAACATAATGAATGTGAAGAAAGATGGACGCCGCTCTACCAATCGCTGGAAGTCAAACAGAAAGCGATGTGAGCTCTAGCTGGCCTCAGCCGCCACTCCAGCCACGCCCTCTGAAACGTTTTGCCGCACCCATCACTCAGCCTCTGTGACCAAGCCCCCGATAGACAGGGCAAAACATGTCATAGGGCATGGCTGGAGTGACGGCTGAGGGCAGCTAGAGCTCACATCGCTTTCTGTTTGACTTCCAGGGATTGGTAGAGCAGCACCCATCCTTCCTCACATTCTTTGCAGCAACACTTGAAATTTAGCTCAGGTGCCTCCTGTTTCTCGAGATGTTTCTACACCTTGATTGGAGTACACCTGTGGTAAATGAAATTGACTGGACATGATTTGGAAAGGCACACACCTCTCTATAAAAGGCCTCACAGTTGACAATCCATACTGTGCCAGCAGCTTAGAGAGGTTTACTGCAAGGTACAGATCTGGGGAAGGCTACAAAAAAATTGTGTGCACGAGCTGACAGGGAGGAGAACTGTTTTGTTTACTAACAGTTCTCCTCCCCGTTGGAGATGCTCGGCAATCACCGGGCACTGGCGAGTAATTACTGGCCATGAACCGGTGATTGACGGCCGCGAATGGCGGTGCTGGTAGGGCACGCACACCCCCTACCTGGAAATGCAAAATCACGTACACACACAGACACACATGCTGCCCTGTAGCAATATTTCTGCTATAGGGCGGTCGGGAAGCGGTTAAGCTGCTCTCTTTTAAATGTACCGTATTTGCCGGCATATAAGACGACTGGGCGTATAAGACGACCCCCTACTTTTCCTGCTAAAATGTAGTGTTTGGGCTATACTCGCCGTATAAGACTACCCCTCTTCCAATGCACACCAGTGGGAGCAATAGTGCCCCATCATTGGTGTCAGTGGGAGGAATAGTGCCCCATCATCGGTGTCAGTGGGATGAATAGTGCCCCATCATTGGTATCAGTGGGAGGAATAGTGCCCCATCATCGGTGTCAGTGGGAGGAATAGTGCCCCATCATTGGTATTAGTGGCAGGAATAGTGCCCCATCATTAGTATCAGTGGGGGGGGAATAGGTGGGCCCCATCATTGGTATCAGTGGGAGGAATAGTGCCCCATCATTGGTGTCAGTGGGAGGAATAGTGCCCCATCATTGGTGTCAGTGGGAGGAATAGTGCCCCATCATTGGTGTCCCATCATTGGTATTAGTGGCAGGAATAGTGCCCCATCATTAGTATCAGTGGGGGGAATAGGTGCCCCATCATTGGTATCAGTGGGAGGAATAGTGCCCCATCATTGGTGTCAGTGGGAGGAATAGTGCCCCATCATTGGTGTCAGTGGCGGGAATAGTGCCCCATCATTAGTATCAGTGGGGGGAATAGTGCCCCATCATTGGTGTCTGTGGGATTGGTGTCAGTGGGGGGGGGTAGAATAGTGGCCCATCGTTGGTGTCAGTGGGGGGGGGTAGAATAGTGGCCCATCGTTGGTGTCAGTGGGGGGGGGGTAGAATAGTGGCCCATCGTTGGTGTCAGTGGGGGGGTGGAATAGTGGCCCATCGTTGGTGTCAGTGGGGGGGAGGAATAGTGCCCCATCGTTGGTGTCAGTGGGGGGGAGGAATAGTGCCCCATCGTTGGTGTCAGTGGGAGGAATAGTGCCCCATCATTGGGAGGTGTCAGTGGGAGGAATAGTGCCCCATCATTGGTGTCAGTGGGAGGAATAGTGCCCCATCATTGGTGTCAGTGAGAGGAATAGTGCTCCATCATTGGTATCAGTGATGGAGCACTATTCCTCCCACTGACACCAATGACACTTGCTGACCCTGTTCTAGTATGGTGCTGCTGCAGCCAGCATATGTGGTTGCAGCAGCACCTCTACACGGCACACTTACCTGCTGCTCCTGCACTCGATTTTCACGGGGCCGCTCGGCTCCGCCCCCTCGCCGGTGATTGGCCGCCTGTGTGCCTTTCCTGAGCTACAGTTCTGGCGGCCAATCACCGGTGAGGAGGCGGAGCCGAGCAGCCGCGCGAACATCCAGTGGCCGAACCGAAGGAGCAGCCGCGCTACCTGGACCGGATCATCGTGGGACCGGAGTCAGGTAAGAAACACCAGCTTCTGCCCACCCCTGTACTTAGTGTCCCTTCCGTTGGAAGGGGGGGGGCGGCGGCGGCACCGCGACGCCCCCCTAAAAAGTGTCAGTATGCCGTATACCGGCGTATAAGACGACCCCCGACTTTTGAGTAGATTTTCAAGGGTCAAAAAGTCGTCTTATACGCCGGCATATACGGTATATCTAAAAACATTAAATAACTCTTTTACCAAAGAGTTCATCTTTAACCACTTCCTGTCCGGACACTTTCACCCCCTTCCTGTCCAGGCCAATTTTCAGCTTTCAACATTATCACACTTTGAATGACAATTGCGCGGTCATGCAACACTGTAGCTATATGAATTTTTTAGCATTTTTTTGAGACGGATAAAGCTTTATTTTAGTGGTATTTATTCACCGCTGGGATTTTTATTTTGCTATTTAAATGAAAAAGTCCAAAAATTTTGAAAAAAAGTGTTTTTCTTCTAAAATTTTGCAAATAAATATTTCATCATAAATCTTGGGCAAAATTTATTAAGTTATCTTTTTAGTAAAAAAAAAAACCAAAAAAACAAAATTAGTTTATAACCAAAAATTATAATTTTTGAAAAAATTTTTTTTTTTATATTATTTATGTTTTGGTTTTTTTTTACATACTGTCACCCTAACAGTACAGTGTCACCATGGTGACAGTGTACTACTTGTGGGGTGTGATGAAGATTTTTTTTTTTTTTTTTTTACACTGATTGCTTTTACACCCATAAAGGCTGTAAAAGCAATCAATTCTGCTCTTCTCTGGCTGCATTCTTGCAGCCGTTGAGAACTACTGAGTGAGCTGTGATTGGTCACAGCTTGTCACATGGTACAAGGCTGTTGTGAATAGCCTTGTACCATGTGACCTCTGTGATCATTCACAGATTTCACACGTAGTAAGCAATGATGTCACAAGTGACATCTTGCTTACTACTCTGCATAGGATCACTGATTGGCCAATCAGTGATCACATGATCGCGACCTCACACAGAGGTCCCGTCCGACGATCGGTGTTCCACTGTGTCCGGAGGACACAGCAGGCACCGGATTGCGGTGCTGCGCGCTCCGAGGGAGCGCGCACAACTAGAAAATGCAGGTGCCGTTTATGAACGGCAACCCGCCCCTAGAGTGACACCGTCCTGCCGTTTAAAAACGGTAGGCAGACGGCAAGTGGCTAAATGAACAGACAGAAGAGGGATGAGGCCAACAGCTTCCAGCCACGACTTACATCGAAGGAATGAGGTTTTAAAACATTTCTGACCAAACGCTCTCCTCTTTCCCAAGAACAATCAGCTGGTTGGTATCTGCTTCTGCTATAGACATAAACCAGCGAACTTTAATGTAAAATCTAGTAAATGCACTTACTGTATAGACAACAGACTCAGAGCCAACTTTAATTTGGAACATGGCAGCACCCAAGACATGTCCGGCATAGTAGGCTTTAATTTCTAATTCATCATCAACCTGCAAAATTAAAAAAAAAAAAAAAAAAAAAAAAAAGGAAGGAAGACAAAAACCATAAAACATACAACTAATAAATAAAAATGCATCTTAGGAGTTTATATACTTCATTAAAAAGGAAGCCCCAACTACATCAACTTCAATGTTGTGATCGCCGGCAGGCACTCAAGGGTGCAATATCCCCATCATTAAAAACGATAGTATCCCCCTACTCTGTATAAAAAACAAATAATGGAGGCATCCAGCTTCAAGAAAGTAACACCCTAACTAAAGGAGAAGTTTGAGATTACTAGAAAAAAAAAAACCAGACAAACGTAAAGCTGTGGCCAAAAGTTTTGAGAATGACACAAATATTAAATTTTCACAAGGTATGCTGCCTGTTTTTATGATGGCAATTTGCATATGCTCCAGAATGTTTTGAAGAGTGATCAGATGAATTGAAAATAATTTCAAAGTAACTCTTTGCCATGAAAATAAACTTAATCCCAAAAAAACTTTTCTATTGCATTTCAGCCCTGCCACAAAAGGACCAGCTGACATGTCAGTGTGTCTCTCATTAACACAGGTGTCCGTGTTGATGGGGACAAGGTTGGAGATCACTCGGTCATGCTGATTGAGTTGGAATAACAGACTGGAAGTTTTAAAAGGAGAGTGGTGCTTGAAATCATTGTTCTTCTGTTAACCATGGTTACCTGCAAGGAAACGTGCAGTCATCAATGCTTTGCACAAAAAGGGATTCACAGACAAGGATATTGCTGCTACTAAAATTGCACCTAAATCAACCATTTATTGGATCATCAAGAACTTCAAAAAGAGAGATTCAATTGTTGTGAAGAAGGCTTAAAAGGTGCCTAAAGTAAGTCCAGCAAGTCCCAGGACTGTCTCCTAAAGTTGATTCAGCTGCAGGATCGAAGCACCACCAGTGCAGAGCTTGCTTAGGAATGGCAGCAGGCAGGTGTGAGTGCATCTGCATGCACAGTGAGGCGAAGACTTTTGGAGGATGGCCTGGTGTCAAGAAAGACAGCAAAGAAGCCGCTTCTCTCCAGGAAAAAAACATCCGGGACAGACTGATATTCTGCAAAAGGTACAGGGACTGGACTGCTGAGGATTGGGGTAAAGTCATTTTCTCTGATGAATCCCCTTTTCAATTGTTTGGGGCATCCGGAAAAAACCTTGTCCAGAGAAGAAAAGGCGAGTGCTACCATCAGTCCTGTGTGTCATGGCAACAGTAAAGCATCCTGAGACCATTCATGTGTGGGGTTGCTTCCCAGCCAAAGGATGGGACTCACTCACAATTTTGCCTAAGAACACAGCCATGAATAAAGAATGATACGAAAACATCTTCCGAGAGTAACTTCTCCCAACCATCCAAGAACAGTTTGGTGACAAAAAATGCCTTTTCCAGCATGATGGAGCAGCTTGCCATAAGGCAAAACTGTTAACTAAGTGGCTTGGGGAACAAAACATCAAAATTTTGGGTCCTTGGCCAGGAAACTCCCCAGACCTTAATCTCATTGAGAACTTCTGGTCAATCCTCAAGAGGTGGGTGAGCCAAAAAAAAAAACCCACACAAATTATGACAAAATCCAAACATTGTTTATGCAAGAATGGGCTGCCATTAGTCAGGATGTGGCCCAGAAGTTGACTGGGAAAATTGCAGAGGTCTTGAAAAAAAAGAAAGGTCAGCACTGCAAATATCAATTCTTTGCATAAACTTAATATAAATTGTCAATAAAAGCCTTTGCAACTTATGAAATGCTTGTAATTATACTTCAGTATACCACAGTAACATCTGACAAAAAGATCTAAAAACACTGAAGTAACAGACTTTGTGAAAATTAATATTTGTGTCAATTCTCAAAACGTTTGGCCACGGCTGTACAAACTCACCTCCGGTTGTCATGACAGCTCTAGGATCAAGACCTAAGCAATCACCTGACTGCTGATCAGGCAGCTCTCTGGTTGGAGTGGAGAACAGTGACTGTCAGTTACTGCTCTCTGATCTGCTATCCCCTTGCTCACACTAATGCCAGGCTGGGAAGGGGGTTGAGACAAATGGCTTTGTCTCTCAGCAGTATGCTGAAAGATGGAATAAGCTGTCAATAGGGCAGCCAGGTGATTTCTAACAATATTTTCAGGATCCATCCCAAGCCTGGCAATGGCTCTGCCCTGTCAGCTGATATTGGGCAATAACCTGCTATCTTGGTCACAGAAGTATGATAGTACAGGTAATAATGTGACCGTAAAGAGAAATACAGCCAAGAGGTTTGGCCATACTTCTCTTAGGTTTTGTAGGAACATGGCGTAAACACAAACTACTGTAAAGAGATTAGCCAAAGGAGATTCCCAGGAATGAGTCAATCCAAAACTTTAACAGAAATTCTACAAAACACGTGAAAAGATAATGCTAGGCAGCAAAGACTGCAACTGGGCAGAGTAAACGAGTTCCCACAATTTACTTATATTTATGTTCTTTGCAATATACTGGAGACAGTTCACAGAACTCCTCAAATTTGGGGTGGGTGTGTATGGAATACATCATGCAGCAGTTCGAGCAGCATTCAAGTTCTTGGGAGAACTTCAAGTCTCAGTAAGCTGAAGCAACTGCTGCCAGGACATGTTGCAACTAGTAGTTCATCGGCAGCTAAAGTTCCAAAGACTGCCCACAGCCATCTTACCTGCACAGTCTGATGGAGGTTGACAGCCACCACTTTCTTCATGCAATCTTTAATCATTTGGGAGGTAAAGAAGTTTGTTTCCCCTTTCTTGTCCACAGTGATCTTCCTGTAATCTTCCAGGAGGATGGGGCAGATGGCCTTTGTGGGATGAGTCATGTAAATGGGGCCATCAAAGCCAACCATTTCACTCATATAAGGCAGAGCTCCACAGTGGTCCAGGTGGAAATGGCTAGAGAAAAGTGACAAGGTTTTATAAACTGAGTATACTGTAGTCTGAAGAAAAAGTTAATTAAAGGAGAATCCTGTACTTTGCCTATGCAGGGCACAATAACAGGTTAATTGAATAAGTCCCCTGCTCTTTATACTTTTCTTCATTTTCTGGAGCAAAGTAGAAAAAAATCCCTGGGTAAGCTTCTAGCCTGCAAGGACCCACGCAACAGGGCTCAGGTACCCAGCGCTGCACACTGACTAGAGTGACTTGGCACTTACACTGGGCTTGCTTCCTTAGTTCCCAAAACCTGAATGGAGTGACAGCGGAGCAAAGGAAACGTGACAACTGCTGCAGCTTAGATTGCCTAGCCTCCCAAAATCACAGATCACTTATAGAGCCCGATCACTTAATCAAAACTCTAGCAGGAATATGCCTGTAAAGAACAAAGAGGATACTTCTTTCTCGTGCAGCCCATGTCCTTGAATGCTCTGATCTTGTGAAATGATCCCCAAAAGATCACTGTGAAACTAAACTTCTGAAATGTTCATTTCCTGGGTCACCCATAAATCACTGGTTCTCCTACTAACTAACCTCCTAGTCAACACTGTCATGGCTGTCAATGGGGAAAAAAAACAAACAAAACAAAAAAAAGGAACACCCCCCCCCCTCCTCCTCCCAGGGGGGCGCACCTACAACCTTCACGTTCTTGCAGTAATTCAGGAGGATACTGTGAACCTTGATAGGGCACCATTGTGCCTAAACTATCTGACACCACACTGTTAGGATCTCCTACACATGCTAGCAAACACTACAGCTCTGTAATGAGCAGTCCCAGCACCTGCTCAACAAATATGGTAGCAAACAAGTTATAAACACTTTATGGGGGAAGTTCAAAATTAATGGTTTTGGAAATCGTGCACTAAGGTTTTCCTGTTGCGATACTTTGAAACTCTTTGTGGTTTAATAAGCAGATAGGTTCTCTTTAAATTCCAACACTCTTTATAATAGCTATAATAAAGCTTTAACTGAAGAAATACATTTCCTAGCCACATCACTTACCTGATGATAACGCAATCCAAAAACTCTGTGAGACGGCCATTTTGTGTAATGTAAGAGAAGTCTGGAAACCTCCTCTGTAAAAACAAAAGAAACAGAAAAAAACTGTTACTGCAGGAATTCCAGTGCTAATTCCACACATATGTAACATCCATCAGAGGCATCACATGTGAAAACTCACATCATCATTGTATCCCATGTGCATTCCACAGTCCAACATGACATTCTTCCCTCCTATGGACACCAGGATGCAGCTGCGTCCAACATCCTGACCAGCGCCTGAGGTATTCACAATACAGTACACAGGAGATTAGCCCAGCTATCAACAAAGAACATGGTGATACAGGTTTTGCTGATGTGTAAATTTCAAACTGTAATAATGTCTGTGCTTTAGTGTTTGTTTTTTTGCCACTTCTTGCCATGATCAACTGCACCATGCGTCTGAGACCAAATGTGAATAAAACTGTTATTACTTAAATACTATCCCTTTACTTTATCTTACTTGATAATTAACCCTTATCTGCCCCTAGCTGTACAACACTTCAACTTTACTTATGGATTTGTCCATACAGGACAAAACTTCAGGTATAATGAAAGCAGAATTAAATGCCACCGTTTATTAAATGGGCCTCCATAGGCTTTATGCCATAATGTGCTAGTATGCATTGCATTTTAACACATTATGGAAGACTTGCCTGTCAAATGATGCCCTCCAATGCTGCGCTGTCAGTGCTCCTGCTGATCATGAGCACTTCCATCTTCTCCTGGTCTTCCTTCCAGGCTCCGTGGTTTGGCTGCTTTAATGGCCAGCTGTGATGACGTGACTCCAATGCATGTGTACAGGAATCACAACACGGGGGGGGGGGGGGGGGGAATTGTGTAAATGTACACTGAGCTGCGCATGCACGGCTCAGTGTACATTACCACTGAGAGGTAGGGAGAAGTATTCATGACAGAAGAGACCACCAAGGTCTCTTCTGATATACAAACAATATCTGTCAGGATTTTTTTTTTTCCCCAATTCCACTTTAAATCTCTGTATTACTGAACCTGTAGTTGTGTACTAATGGCTGGAACTAAGCATTACTAGGTCTGCGTGGTCAATATGCGATCCAATCAAAACATGAAGCAGCGCCAAACCCAACCACATAGTGAACTAAACAAGTTTAGCAAATAAATACAATTATTAATTAAATATATAATATTGGATAGGTAGCTGCCCCTTTAAGTGAAACATCACTTCTAATAAATGTGCAATAAATGAAAGTAGGAGCTCACCAAAAACATGCAGTTGTGACAATCATAAACACTACTTATAAATCAACATATAATAATGTGTCAAAACCATGAAGTCCCAAATCACAAAATTCATTCACATGTGACAGTGTGACTGGTGACTAATTGTCTATGTTCTCTTTCAGAGAGACAGGGTAAATAGGAAAGGTGGTGGTGTCTGTCTCTATGAGAAGTGATCTCAGAGCGAGTGTGAAAGAGGACCTAGTTGACGGAGAGTGTGATGAGGCTGAAGTATTATGGGTGGATCTGCACATGGGGTGCGTACTACAAAGGTAATCATTGGAGTTTGTTGTAGGTCTCCCAGTGTTAATGAAGAGGTGGAGACTCAGCTCCTTGCACAGACTGAAATGGCTGCAAGGGCTGGGACAGTGATAATAATGGGGGATTTTAACTATCCGGAAATTGACTGGAGTAATGGTACTGCAGGAACAGTTAAAAGGGCAAACATTTTTAAACCGGCTAAAGGACAATTTTATAATACAGTTCATAGAGGCCACCAACTAGGAATGCTCCTCTGCTGGACCTGGTAATCTCAAACCATGCAGAGCTTATTATGAATGTCCATATAAAAGAACATCTGGGTAGCAGTGACCATAACGTGATTTCATCTATTGTTAGTTGTACACAGCAAGCACATACGGGAATAATAAAAACGCCCAATTTTAAGAGAGCTAATTTTCCAAGGCTGAGAGCTGATCTCCAAGACTTAGACTGGGAGGAAATATTAGCATCGATGAACACAACACAGAAATGGAAATTCTTCAGACTGTATGTGAACACACTGCAAAATATATTCCCATGGGCAACAAGTTTAAAAGGCTAAAAATCAAACCTATGTGGCTTACGGCCAAAGTTAAAAAAGCTATAAATAATAAGAAAAGAGCTTTTATTAAATATAAAAATGAAGGACCGTTATCATCATTTAAACATTACAAAGAATATAACAGAATATGCAAAAAGGAAATAAAGGCTGCAAAAATTGAAAACGAATGACAGATTGCAAAAGATAGCAGGACCAACCCCAAAAAATTCTTCAAATATATTAATAGTAAAAAAGGTCCGGTCTGAGCATGTAGGCCCTTTACAAAATAATCCAGAGTGGGTGACTGGGGACAAAGAGAAGGCCAATATATTTAAATACCTTCTTCAGCTCTGTGTATACAAAGGAGCATGGGGGAGCTCTTGTCCATAATGGGCATGGTATTGACATAGCTCCAGATGATCCACATTGGCTCACAATTGATATGATCCAAAAATATTTAGACAGAATAAAGGTGAATAAAGCACCTGGACCGGATGGCATACACCCAGGGGCCATAAAGAATTGAGCTCTGTCATTTCAAAGCCATTGTTTCTAATTTTTAGGGACTCTTTAATGACTGGCATAATACCACTGGATTGGCGTAAGGCCAATGTGGTGCCTATATTTAAAAAGGAGTCAAAATCTTTACCAAGTAATTATAGAACCGTTAGTTTAACTTCTATAGTTGAGAAGATACTGGAGAGCTTAATAAAAGACCACATAGATGAGTTCTTGCTAGAAAAAAAATATTTTATGCAACAGACAGCATGGATTCATGAAAGACAGAAGTTGTCAAACAAATCTGATTTCTATTTATGAGAAGGTGAGCAAAACCTTGGACAGAGGGGTGGCGGTAGACGTGGTATACTTGGATTTTGCAAAAGCGTTTGACACAGTTCCCCACACACAGCTAATGTGTAAGGTAAAGTCTATGGGCTTTGAAAAATCTGTATGTAAATGGATAGAAAACTGGCTAAAAGATCAAATTCAGAGAATAGTGGTTAATGATTCATACTCTGAATGGTGTAGGGTCATCAGTGGTGTAACCCAGGGTTCAGTGTTGGGACCCTTACTTTTTAATATATTTATAAACAATATAGGGTCTGGAATTAAAAAACCCATTTCAGTCTTTGCAGATGACACCAAGCTGTGCAGTGGAATAAAGTCCTTACAGGATGTCTTCAACTACAAGCCGACCTCAATGCTCTGTGTAATTGAGCAATTATGTGGCAAATGAGGTTTAATGTTGATAAATGTAAGTTTATGCACTTGGGGACTAAAAATATGCATGCATCATAGCCAAGCTGCGGTTTCTAAAGCAAGCAAAATCCTCTCTATTATAAGAGGTATAGACTCCAGAGAGAGAGATATCATATTACCCCGGTACAAATCATTAGTAATACCTCATCTGGAATATGCAGTTTCGTTTTGGGCACATTCACAAAAAGAACATTGGGGAACTGGAGAAAGTTCATAAGAAAAGAACATGAGGAAAGGGATATTCTCTTTTGAAAGAGGGAGGGGGGATATGATCAACATGTATAAATACATCAGTGGTTCATATAGTGAACTCGGTGTAGAGCTATTCACCCTGAGGACAAGGTGGCATCAGAGGACAAGGGGGCACTCTTTATGTCTGGAGGAAAAGAAATGTAATCTTCAAACACGGAAAGGTTTCTTCACAGTGAGAGCTGTGAAAATGTGGAATAGACTCCCTCAAGAGTTGGTTCTGGCCAGCTCAGTGGATTGCTTTAAAAAAAAGGCCTGGATTATTTCTTAGATACACAGAAATATAACTGGATACTAACATTTATAGGTAAGGTTGATCCAGGGAATATCCGATTGCCTCTCGGGGGATCAGGAAGGAATTTTTTGACCTGCAGGAGAAAATTAGATCATGCTTTGCTGGATTTTTTTTGCCTTCCCCTGGATCAACTGTGGGTATAGGATTATAACCTTTTTTTTTAATGGTTGAACTGGCTGGACGTGTCTTTTTTCAGCCAAACTATGTAATTCTTGCAACTCCAAAATTGTGCTCTACCACTGTGTGTGTGTAGCTGAAATGGGAACTCACCAAATTTACTCAGCCAACAATGTAGCCAGGAAGCTTGTACACAGATCCTCTATGCCTTAGGTGCGATGTGAAATCCTGCAGAATCCTCCAAACAAATGATACTACACCACATTCTCCAGTCTCAGTAGCTCAGAAAAATGCCAAGAAGATAGTCATAGTGCATCAACATTTATTTAAAAATGTGCAAATGTAATCAAAATCCACTCACATATTACAGGTGCCACAGGGAGCACCAACCCAAACAGCTCACTAGGGGGATCTCGCCCTCCATACCGCAGCCCGTCCTGCAGTCGATGTGCATTCCAATGCCCAGATGTGACGTATGAGGAACCGGAAGTGACGTGTGCGGCTCAAGCCTCAATGCAAAGCTTGCTGGCTATTTTATTGGCTGAGTAAATTTGGCGAGTTCCCATTTCAGCTACACACGGTGGTGGAACACAATTTTGGAGTTGCAAGAATTAGTCACCAGTCAGACTGTCACATATGAATGAATTTTGTGATTTTGGACTTCACGGTTTTGACAATATTAAATGTTAAGTTGATTTAGAAGTAGTGTTTATGATTATCACGATTGCACGTTTTGGGTGAGCACCTACTTTCATTTACCGCATTGTCACTATAACTAAAGAATTTAGAAAATTGTTAAATCGTCAAATCAGAAGTAAACAATCTTTAGAGTATTGCTAACAGGTAGACACTTCTTCCACAAAAACCTCTTTCCCTGCCTATCAATTTTTTGTTTTGTAATTTACATTGTGTGACTTGGTATATAACCAGACGCTGAGATATAGTCATTTCTGAGCACTTGCACTAGTTTTAGATCATGTGTGTAGCCAAAGATGGATGCTGGCTTAAGACTGAAGACTAGACCTGGAAAAAAAAATAAAAATTCTGAGGTGTTGATGGATCAATGAGGGGAAAGTGTGGACATAGCATCACTGGAGGAGTGGCGACAAAGGTACAAGTATGTTGTGCATATTTGTACATTACAGCACAACCCCTGGGGACTTTCAGAGGCAGAATTTCACTTCACTGGCCCAGTATTGTCTTATGAGAGAAGAGAGAGATATCAGGTTGCAACCTTGAGATTACACAGGGCTTCCTCTCTGCTCTCAGTAGGTAGT